CCAGAACATAAAGCGATTGTTTGAAGGGAATGGTTATGTTTTGTAGCCTATACAGTGTACCATAGCAAGCCTTTATTCGTAAAACATTTGGAATATAGACTGCCTGTGCTGAGTCGATCAATGGTTGTTAATCAATACTCCTGTGGTACACGATATGTGGGCCGTACTACGAGGTGCCTGTCTCATATGGTTTTAGAGCACATATCGAAGTGATTTCATAGAGGTGAGGCGAGGTCTTCTAATGGCTTCGTCACGTTGCACGTCATTGGCTACAGTTACAAGAATCTAATCGTTGTTCGGACGAAGAGCGCTGTATGCAAGCTAAAGCGTTACAACATAGATTTAGTTTGTACGCCATACCTTAAGGAGCTTAGAGTCCTAAGCATTCCACGACTATGGGTCTCCAGCAGCGTAAAAGCATGGATCTGACGGTGACAAGACGTGAAGTCAGCGACCGCATGTGTTGTCGCCACATGGAAGGAAGATAAGTGTGCGTTCACTGCTAGCCCCATTGCGCAAGAATGAACAGGTCCCGGTGGGGCAAACTCTCGCACGAAATGCGTCTCAAATGGAAAATAAAAAGTAACTTATTGAAGCTCACATTTTTAAAAAGGAGAACCGGTAAACTACCATAGTATGATGTAAGTGGACAGACCGAAATTAGCTGCAAGTTAGCTAATGTTCGATGATCTTCACACAACTGCCGGTAACGTCTTTTAAATATAGGGATAATAGTACATAACCGTCTGTTTCACGGTGCCCCATGTACCTATCAACAGAACGGCTAAGTTGACAAATAGCTGGTTGCTGCCGAATTTTAACAACAATGGAAGACCGTTGTTTGGCTCATGCTTTTTGAATAGTTTCAATAACGCCAGTTCAACCTAAATATAATTGAAGGAAGGACGTGTGACTGTGGCTCAGTTGCTTCAAGAAGCAATATTTATGTAGCATGCCGGTTGAACTGCTCTCCGAAAGTCTCCGCGCAGCGTCGCAATGGGTTTGTGAAAAATGGATCACTTGTCCATTTTTAGATACCGTTTCACACACAGGAGCATTTTTTAATTACTTGGTTCAGATGAATTGGAACCCCAGTTGGTTGCTCTAAAAAACGCTGTCCTCCATTCCGCAGGTCTATGTTATTATTGGGATGTTGGCCAAAAGCCAGCTTAATGTTCTGTGTACTCTGAAATGCACTACCGCCCATTATTCAGTGGCTTAAGCTGCTGGCTAGTTGGCGTCAGCATGTAGCGGTCATAGGTTCGATCCCCATTAGGGGACCAGGGGAATGCGCACCGCTGACCAGTCCCACTAGGACGAAGCGCGTCGGGTGCTTTTCCGAATTGTGATTGAGCTGTGTAGCTTGTGAGTTGCTGGGACGAATACATTAAAATTAGCCTGTTATTGCCGATAACAAACAGCGCAAATAACAGAGGTAGCCTCCTATTTGCATGCCACATTGTATTTTTGGAATGAGTAATTTATGGTTGTGTACTCAGACATGATTGGATTCCAGGTAAGTGGGATATATCAGCCGATAACTAAAATGACGTACTCTATCCATGCTCGATGGCTACTCAGTTGACGGTGACCTTGATTCAAGGCAGAGCGTCGCTGAGTCGAGATCAGATTATACAATACGAATGCCTGTGCTGGATGGTGCTGCCGAAAATATAAAGGTCGTGATCGACCCATAATTGGAGAAACCAATGTCTATTACAAGTAGTGTGATTATCGGCCACAAAAAGGACTCAAATTCATTCTTCCGCTCACGACAGGCAGCTACTTTAAAAGCTGCATGTCGCCGGCTGTGGTCACAGTATTCATATAGCAACAACGCAGTGCATATCTCTCTGAAAAGAGTGCAGAGCAGTAGCAAGATGCGCCTGTTGGAATATGGTGTGTGTATTAATACCCGATGTGAGCAGGGACGTTTGGCTATGGAGGTGATTTAGTTGGGAATTCCGGCAGACATAAAGAGGCTAGTTACGTTCGACCATCGGTGCCTTCGCAGTTCGGCTCACATCTGGTAGGAAAACCGCGTGAGTAACGAGCGTGTTCGACGCCTTGTTTATGGCCCAGAAAAAGGAACTGAACCGCTCAGCACTGACACTACATGCACCAGGCTTAGATGGCTGAGCCACGTGTTGCGCATGCCAGCCCGACTCCCGCGACGTGCGTTGTTTGCTCACGGGGGATGTGGATGGAGGAAGAAGAGGGGTGTCCAAGGGATGACTTGGTCCAGAGAAATGAGGGGCATCACTTCGGAGCTTGTCTCGGTTGGAGCGTCAGAGCTCCCTGGTTGGGGTCCGAAAGACGATGAACCTGTTTGGTTGGATACACATGCTGATGTGCCTAGGAGCCGACCTCAGTGGCGTTCGTGCTGTGAGTTTATTTGTCCCTCCCCATCCCTTTTAGCCTACCCCCTCCAACCACGATCGCATTTCGTAGCGCAATATAATTTTACATAATAATTTTTCTTGTTGCCTAGTAGCCGGTTGGTAGCTTACCGGAACGATGCCTATCCGTTTCTGGTAGCTCAACTGACACGCAACTGTTGTATTTACTTTCCTTTTCGTTTATGTAATGCGGCACAGTAGCTGAGGTGTTTCCCACCTCTAGCTAACGTATATAATGATGATGATGATGATGATGGGAATTCCGCAAACGTTGCGGTGTCACGAGTAACCTGTGATGGCTAAACCGAGAGGGAAAGCGTGCAAAAGCGAAACGGAGTAAGAAAAGTAAAAGCATCGGTGGGTACTGGTGACGGTTGATATTCGCCGAGTGATGGAATTCGGTCCCACCTCCTCTCTTATTTAGTAGTCTGACACACATTTAGAAAAGCGCATGTTTGCATGGGATAATTCACCTTGCTTTTGAAAATGCTAGGTCCCGAGGTTAAGTTTCCGTTCTTGAACTGGTTCGATTGCTTCTGCAGTATCCCAGTTCGCGTACAATTGCTTACAGTTGCATGACTGTGAAACGTCGGTAAAAAAATATAGGTGTATTGCTAAGGACTTGACTTAGTTGATACGTTTGGATCAATATTCAGGTCATCAATACAGCTGAGGGCATATTCAATTCGACGGTATAAATTCACAATCCATCGGAGCAGTTTGAGGCCGGTCACATGCAACTTCAGAAGATGCAGTATAACTCGTGCACGCTTTTAGACTAGCGAATGATATCCTATCCCCAATTCTAAACGCAGCTGAGAATTTGCGAAGCCGCATCACATTAAAAATGAGTTTTGTAAAGCACCATCATCCGTAGAAGCAGCAGTTAATCGGAACTGCATACTGACGCTTCGCTGCCCAAGTCAAAAGAATCAGCAGCAGTATGTCGGCACACTGTACAGATGCTTTGCTGTCACGCGACTACCACCGGTCGCGCGTGAGTTGAGTAAACCGCGAGGACGCCCGGCTCTACGCGGATTCGAACCAATGAGCTGAGGATTGCAAGCCAAGCGCGCAATCCTTTCGGCCACCAGCCGACCCAAGCCTTACAAACAACACACGGTTACAAAGAATTAGCTATTCGATGAGAAGGCGGAGTCGGTGAAATAGCTTACCCGCATGTTTTACTGTCACGCGCCATAATCAGCCATATGCAGACAACAGTGTCAATTACTTAAAAAGGTAGTCCCGTTAAAAGACAACATTAAGCGAGCAACTGTTGCCGACTGTGAGGCATGTTCAGTGGAGTCTCGAGTCAAGCACAAGGTTGGACCCGGAGACTCCGGTACGGAAGATGAAAGGAATGCCGGTTCACCATCTACTGTAACTGTATCTGACTGGTGGCACCGCAAGATGATCGACTGATGACACGGCTACAACGCTTGAGAAAATCAACTGACAGGTTTAGTAGGGGTATCTGTCTTCTTCTCGTATGCAGTCTACAGGATCGATTTCATCAGCCGCTAGAGACGGACAAGACTCGACCGCGAAGTCGAGGATATCGTTGCCTTAGATCCACTACTAGTTGCAAGCGCTCTTATTCATCCTTCGTAGCTTTTCCATTTAGATAACTTTTCATGTGTTCCTTATGCATTTCATTTCGTTGCAAATACTGCTATAGCTACGCGGACTATGATGACGTCAGCACAAAGGTAGGACTCAGATTCCGATGGAATACAGCACAACGAAATAGTGAAGAAAGTCACGTTTCGATATCCGCCTTTTGCTTTGAAAGTTTAATGCACTGTTGCAGGATTGACTCCGGTGACCACGAATCATCTACTGATTCAGCCACCCATGGAATGGTATCCCTTCTGAAAGTCAGATTGGTGGAACGGTTGAGCGCACAAGAGGGCCTGCGCGGGCTTCTACAATCTAGGCATCCCATAAGGTGGATGTGATCCTAGTTTATGAAACAAACGCAGGGCGAAATGTGCGCGGTATGGCCCCTGGTACTGTGCGCGAAGGATAGTGATGGACTACTTGTGATACCACCACTAAATAGCCGATTGCAACATCTAGTGGGACAACTGGGCGATTAATGCAAAATATAAACACTTGAATTATGGTGACAATCTTGCGAGCTGTGTATCTGACTTCTAGGTACACGTCAGCTAGATCAACTTATTCGCATGACTGGTGACCAACCACAATAGAAGTTCAATTGTGACCGGTTTGGTGAAACCACAAAGTGGTCCTATGATAGCTAGCGAAAGAGCAAGAAAAACGATTGAAAAATAAAGCCGCATCAAGGCATCTTAACTTTCTTGGCCCACTAAGATCAGCGGCATCACTTCTATGAAATCGTAAATAAATAGACACGGTCATAATTAGCTAACGACATCGGGATGTGGCAATAACATCTTCCCTGACTGTGCGTGATAGATCTTCTGATTTGTATGCGATTCCGGCTGATTCTCAGACAACGGATCGTGGTTCCAAAAATGAGCACCAATCTGCAAGCCCATAATATAAGCTAAATTAACACTAAACAGTCTCACTTTTTGGTACGACAGTATACGATAAAACATGTGGACTCACTTCAAAACACCATCGTTTGAATCGCATAGGTGCAAAAATCTAGGGTTCTGTGAATCTTGGATGGCCCAAATCAACCCAATCATCAACGAATCTGGACTACGATGCTTCAAGCCGAAATAGAGTCCAGGCCTGTAAGTTCCCCAGAAAAGTTCATTTGAAAGGGCATCCTCAGATATCACTCTAGTGAGGGACAACGGCGAATTGACCAGTTGGGCTTGACTCCATGATTTGTAGTAGTGAAGCAGAAAGAGAACGAGAACCGCTATAGCAACGACCACCAGAGAGCCAGTAAACAGCCATTTCTGGATTGTTCTGCCGAAGGGTAGTTCAAAGTTGAAGTGTTTCTCACCATGTCCACGGTTTTTTAACCTTGCAAGACGAGGCTTATCGTTTGAAAAATGCGGGATATGTTCAGTGGTTCGTCTAGATTTGTCTTTTGAGTCAGGTAAAAGTGATTCATCTGACTTCTGGCTATGTTTGCGTTTCTTTGGACGAACGTCGATGATCTTGTTTTTAGGCATGCTGAAAACAGACGAGCAAACAGCATTCGAAAAGCAAGAAACGGAAATAATAAAGTAACCAATAATTTAAGGTGATTTGCAGGAAACGATAAGTAACGGAACAAATGTGGTAGTCTAGTGCACTGGATCTCGTGTTAAGCGAAGGTGGAAACAAAACCAAAACCAACTATTAGGAATCCTCGGAGAAATTCTGGTCGGTACCATAGACGTGCCCAAACTTAGATGTCAAACGAAATAAATGAATGTTACATTTTCAAACAGTAATGGCCATATTGATATTTAAAGAAGTAATGGAAAAATGACGGTATGTGAGTACAATCAGACGTTGCTTGTGACGAAGGATATCAGGAAAGTGCTTCAGACGCAGCTGCTTGATTTGAGTGCACTGAATTATGTCCCGATGAACGGACAAATAGATCATCATGTTGTGGCTCGATAAAATCAGGGGATCAAAAGGATAAAGACTATAAAAACCCCAGCAAAGCAGATAAAGTAGAGAGAAAACGAATACTAACAACTGCAAAGACGGCTCATGAGGCATTCATAAAGCTGCAACTCAATAGACGAGAGGAATGCCAGAGTACCCTATGGCGTAAAAGAAGGGGGAAATGTCAGTGAAAAATGGATTCAGCAGTACGCCGTACCGATGTTGCCACGCAACCACCACTAGTCGAGCGTGGGCTAAGAAGATTGTGACTGTGGCACAATACCATACGCAACCTTGAACCGGTGACGTCCGGGTTGAAAGGCAGACGTCTTGTCCTTTCGGCCACGAGCTGGTAAAGAAGCGACTGCGGCTGGCATAGTACACAATATTTGTGAGAAGAGACAAATGAACTACAACATGGTTAGTATCGGACAAAATAGTGGAATAGTTAAGAACCCAGTAGTAAAATTCGGTTGAGTTAGGAATTTATGGTTCGGGAACCGAAGTGTAGTGGATCCAACCGCCATGACTCACGGTAACAATTGTGAAAAAATGAGGGAAAATGCTGATAACAACTAGAGGCAAAAACCGATTGTGGCAGCACCACTGACTCCGCGGCAGTGCTATATCCCATAGGGCCTCCAAACACCGAGTTGGCCCATCCCGAGGACCCTATTCACGAAGACGACATGCGCAAACTTCACCAATACTATTAGTTCTTCATGTCTACATACCGAATCATCGACCGGCTACTTCACGGTCTCTTCCAACTAGGTGCAGCGGCAGCACGTAATACCCACCGAGGAAGGTCATAGGGTATTACGCAGGACATACCCAACACGAAATAAGCAGTCCGAGCAAAGTAGACGTTTCAGTAAGACACTACAAAGCATCTTGGAAAACACCAACTAGTGAAACAAAGTATTGCTTAACAAGTGTTTTCACTTAATATGAACAATACTCAGTAACATCGACACACAAAAACGGCGAATCTCTTGATGCCCTCAGCGCGAAATGAGTGTCTTACAACTAAACAGTTACAGGGGTCTTACAGTAATTTTGTACATCCGACCCCGTTGAGTTAGTGATAACATTTCATAGATGATCGAGATACAAAAATCCTGGATGGTTTGCAGAAAGTAGTCCGTAGAAATCCCCGAATTGTGAGTTGATTGTGTAAATTTCCAATCAAAATTATTGTTTCACAGTACAGTTAAATGATCGGTGCGGAATGCTGAACTACATGTTGAGTTTGAACATTTGGGTTGACCACCGCCAATGAGTGGCGCTCGGTTAGTCCACAACGCGCGACCGTATTACGGGAGCTTACACAATGTTGGCCACACAGATGAGGCTCATCAGAGGACAGTTTTCCGACTTCGCCGTTAAGATCATCAGCAAGCACCATAGTATCCGTACATTTCCTGAGACGAAGGTAGTTAAGTTAGTGATAGTAATCATCTTCCACCGAAGTCATGCTACAGTTTGTGGGGGCGCTGGCCGCAATAACAAACAGGCACCACTTGTCTCCAGGAGACTTCGAAGCTTTGAACGGACTAGCCAATTTAACGGCGCACATCCGGCTATTGACTGGATTCCCATCGATCAGGGCAGTTTTAGGCAGGCAATTCACGACAAAGCATACGCCGGCTTGACCGGCATTTGAAGCCGAGGCATTACCAGACAGGCGCAAGGAGAATGTGTCGCCAGAGCAACATATATATATATAAATATATATCTTTGCACTTCGAAGATTTTGTTTGAAATCCCCGGTGCAACTGCGCTTAATGTGCATGTTGACAAGGTGCCTACCTGTCCATTACCCATTACTTCGTCCATACTGGCTCCAGGAGACAGTTGGTCGTTGCTGGAGGGGACGGAGTGCATCGTCTTCGTGACGGTGATAGGCGCAAAGAGTGATTCCATGCAACCCGTGTGGAACGGGCTACGGCCCAGCCACCGCCTTGTGTACGTCTGGTGTGCATGAATGTCAATTAGGCCGGAATGATTCTGTTCTGCTTGCTGAAGGAGTGTGGGCCGGCTCCGTTGATGAAACTTGGCTCCCATCCACATGCCTCCCGGTCTTATTCCTTCGGGTTTACACTGGATATGGGGTGTGTGGATGGAACTGTGGATGGTGCAGCGCAAGTCACCCATGGTCCCTCTGTAGGCGCAGGCGTCCTGTGGCTGTCCCCATGGAGGCCACAGTGACAGGCGAATCCGGACACGGATGCCGCCAATCCATGAAGGTAAGTATTGCAAAATCTGGTTGCAGTAGGATTGAGGCATGTACATACTGAGTTGTATTTTGTTTAATTATACCATCGATAAACATCGCTTCCTTTCTTGTTTGGACCCGAGAGATTTTACGTGTTACTCGAGCCCCAAGCGAGTCTGGCGTTTAGGTAAATAGCTTATCGCCACAGTAGAGTATATAGGCACATCTGTCAACTCATGAATAATGCTCATTTTAAGGCAAGAAGTTCAAATAGCGAAGAGATTTCTTTTCGATTATTCTCAACAGGCAATGACAGTAATAAGAAAAAACGTGGTAAGCTGCTGTCAAATACACTGAGGACAGCTAAGCCGGGAGTTTGAACGGAGTCAGTAGGGCAGATCGATTACTAGGTCGATTCACTTACGGTAGGCCTCGCAGCCAATTGTAAGCCGCCTAGGGTAGGCCTCGCAGCCGATAGCAAGCAGTTAGTGCCCGATCCCGAGTAACTGCCGCATGGCCAGGGTAGGAGGAGCACTTGTACAAGGGCTCGTTGGTTGCAAAGCTCGGGCTGGGTTAGTCTGATAGAAACTGCTTCAGCTATCTAAGAGCCTTCGGATGGCGTGACGAGACAGAGTAAAAGATCTCAAGGGTATCCGATGTTTGAATTTCGTGCCCGCTTAGGATCAGAAGTTCCATGGTAGCACTGTTTATGTTTCTGCTCATGCCTCTTCTTAGCGAGCCTGGTCAATGCTCTGCTACCCGTTTTGACAGACGCCTGGTTGTGTGCCCGAGGTATCTTGCACCACAGGTGTCAACGGTTGAGTAATTGGGTTATGCAAGATTCTTCTTTTAAATTGGCTAAAACAATTTGAGCACTTTTTTGAAAGCCGAATGTAAGACAGGACTGAGCTGGATTTAGTAGATATATTGTTCCTGTGACCGCGTCAAAGCGGTTATCAGAGAATGTGTGATATTACCGACTTCTAACGCATATAACAGACGGCATTTGCAGCATACACTAACGATAAGATATCACTGTTTTACTGTGCCACTTATATGTGCATCATCAGACCTGGTAACCATATTGATGGTATTCGCTTCCCTATTCCTATATCTGTCTCTATCCATTGTTGATGCCCACACTTCTGACTAAATGTATGACTGTCATTTAGGCTCACGTTTAAACGTTAACTAACCACCGACAGTCGTATTGGTTGCTTATAATTGTACGTGCGATCTTCCAACTCTAGTGGAATATGGCTGTTATTCTTACATTCAATCCCTACCCGCACACGTTTGTAGTGTTATTGCTCAGGAGGGTTATTGTTGCTCCATCCAATTTGTGATAGTGTATAGACAAGTGTGAACAAATGCCCGCTCGCAATACTGCAAGTTGAACCAGGGACTTTTGATATGTCAACTGATATCTCATGTTGAATAACTAAGTGGAAGCCATTTAGATATACTTGTAAGCGCCACACTTCAGCTTGATAGGCTGACCGTACTTTCACTCGCGTGACACCATTATCTGCTGGCTCGATGTCTAACTGGGACTCGCCGAAATTACAAATCGCGCTAACATCCGTTTGTGTCTCGCTACGTTCTCCCTTGACAGATGGGTCTTGTTACATTTCTTTTCGTGTGATACCGTGAGTTACTGCGAGGTGTAATATGAAGTCAGTGTATCCCATATCAAGTGCTTCTATACGCCACCTTGTACTGCTGCCGTCTTCAAGTAAACGATCTGAGATTCAAACAAGTCATCAAGGTTGATTCCGGAACAGCGTCAGCACGATGTGACATGCAAATCGAAATGCTTGGGCACAGGTAGGAAGTGGTCGAGATATGCTAGGGCCCAGAACGAATGATCAGGGGGAGAGAAATAGTAACACACGATGGACTGCCTAGTGGTTCTACATACCTGTTAATTCTCGCAAACCTCGGACAAAAGATGATCATAACCGGCTCCGGTTTACCTTCCGACACGGATAGCCTGCAGTGAATATAGGGGACGGCATTCACAGCACACACCAACGATAAGTCATCACTGGTCCACTATGCTTTTACTTTTCGTTAAATTGAGCACAGCTATAATTCCCGTTCTTTCACCGCGGAGTTTAACTTAGCTGAGCTTATAAAAATCAGTGGACTTAATCGCACCATTTCCCTGCTAACTTGTAAAGTTTCTTACTCCATCTCTTCTTTGTGTCATCCTTATTCTATCGCGCATGTAAGTCGCGCTTGGGTACAGTTTCAAGCTAAAATGGTTAACCATTGACTTGGTGTAATGTGGTATATTTATTGCACCTGCCTGAAATGGATGAGTCTCATCTAACCTACTTTTAAGCGGTTTACCT